AGTCTTTGACGGTCCCAGGAAACCCAATTTTGCATTTTCCAAAAGATAATCTACTATGTGCTAGATAGTACAACTGTATTTATGGATCCTTTAGGGAATTTATGACTTTGACAGAAAGCAACTATTAAGGTAGAAGATCACTTGTGGCTGATAATTTTCTCTGTAAAACGTGATTCATTAACTTAAAAATTCCATTATATTTATCAGGGTGGTCTTAAACAAATTAAAGGAAAAACAAATGGAAGTTTTTAATATCAAATTTCAATTATATATGCAAAAAATTATATACATGATTCATGACTAGCCCAGACTAAATAACATTAATTTTATTTTCAAGTTGCCCCACTAAGAGAAATAAAATGGCATTTAATGGTATCTAATGTCAATACATGTACTGACTTGGCTTTTGGCTTTTATTTTATGAAAATATTACCAGTGGCATTGTTTCAATGGCTGTACTATAATAGATGGCTGAATACCTAGGAATCACTTAGTTCAGAATGACACTGAACATTGCAGCTAAGTTTACCAATAAATTCTAGTTTTATATTGCTTTCCCTTTATATCATGATCTTGATTGTCTATGATAACAGGAAACCCAATTTAAACTATCTTAATAATAAATGGCATTTATTAGCCTAGGCAACAACAAAAAATTAAAGGCAAGGTAGTTAAGTGTGGTTCAATTTGGCCCTGGTTTAATTTTCCTTAGTTTTGTTGGCTTTGCCCTTCTATATATTGGCTTTATCCACAAATTGGTGGCTAGGGAGCTGTTAGGATTCTAGTTCCCACACAAGGGACTTTTATCTCGAGTGAGGAAACAACTGTTTTGAAAGTCCCTCCAAATACTGCCCTTGCTTTTCACTGGCCTGTATTATGTCATGTGCTATTCCCAGAACAATTCCTGTGGCCAGCATAATACTAATTTAAATAAGTTTAAAGCTAGATTCCTTAAAGCTAGATTTGTTAAAATTAATGGCATTATACTCGGCAGCATTTTCAAACAGTGAGTTATAACCCAAGAATGGATTCTGAAGTTAATTTGTGAATCGTAACTGTCATTTAAAAAATTAAATAGAATGAATGAACCTTGAACACACATATACACTTGGATCACAATGTAAAATGTACTTTGTGATTTGGGATCAAAAAATAGTTTGAAAACTACTGATTTAAAGGTCTGATGCTCTGGTGACTCAGCTAGCTGGAACTAACCATTTTAGTTTCCCCTTTAATGTTTTCTAAATGTTAAAGCATGCCTTCCTTTCAAAAAAGCCCTTCATTGATTCCATCCAGTAAGTATTCATGATGGGGTAATCTATAAATTGGTTTATGGAAAGTATTATGGTAAAAGATTCATCAAAAAACCTTGCCCTTGGGCTGGGGATTTAGCTCAGTGGTTTAGCTAGCTGCCTGCTGAGGAAGGGCAAGGACCCGAGTTAGATCCCCGGTACCAAAAAACCAAAAAGCTTGCCTTCTCCCCCTTTTTGAGACAGGGTCTCACTCTGTATGCTGTGACTTACTATGTAGCCCAGGCTGGTCTTGAACTTGAAGCCATGCTCCTGTCTCAGCCTCTTGAGTGCTGGAACTATAAGCATGTGTCACCACACCTGGTGTGGAAAAGTTTGTTTTCTAAGAAAAAATATGTATTTCAAATAGCTGAGCACTGAGTCTAATCTTTATTTAGGTTTAAAATTTGATCTTGAGGGCCAGGGATTTAGCTCAGTGGTGCCATGCCTGCCTCGAAAGTGCAAGGTCCTGAGTTCAATCCCTGGTTCCAGAAATAAAATAAATAAAATTTGATCTTGAGAGCCAGGCATGGTGTTGCATGCCTATAATCCCAGCACCTAGGAGGCTGAGACAGGATTGCCTCGAATTCTCTTATGTAGCCTGGGCTAAATAGTGAGTTCAAGGTCAGCCTGAATTACATAGCGAGATCCTGCCTGGAAAAAAATTTTTTTTGAGTTGAGTGTAATGGTGCAGGCTATAATCCCATCACCTGGGAGGTGGAGGCAGGAGGATCACTGTGAGTTCCAGGCTACCCCTGGACACAGTAAGTTGAAGGCCATCTAAACTTCATAGTGAGATGCTGTCTCAAAAAAAACCAAACCACCTTATCTAATAAAAATTTTAAGAGTTCATTCTAGTTTAATCGTTTTCATTTAATAAATGAAGAAACTAAGGCCTAGAGAGGGGGATGAAGTAATTACTGTGAGGCAGTTAATTAGCTGCAGAACACAAATCTCTTGATACTTCAGAATTCTTTCCACTGTCTTAATTAACAACAGTTACACTTAAAGTTGGAACTAGACTTACCTATCCAGCAGGTTCCAGACCTACCTTTAAGTGCTAAAACTCCATTCTCACTGGCCATGTAATCTGTAAGATAGTCCTGATAGGTTACAGGAGAGGTGAACAGTTGGGATTAAGTTGGGGAGGGTCATTATTAGAGCAGAAAACAGGGTCTCAGCCAATTTAATTGGATTAAATGCAGGAATCTGGACTCCCAGAGAAGGTTAAGAGAAAAGGACTGAAAAATGAGGTCTTATAATGCAAAAGGTTGACATCCTGAACAGGATCAAGGCTTAGGACAAGTAATCAGATAAGAAATAGTTATCAAAAAAAAAAAAAGAAATATAGTTATCAGACATTAGAAGCCAGACACAAACATTACAGCATTGGCTATCTCAAACTAGGTGATTTTTGTTTTTTTGGTACTGGAGATCGAACTCAGGTCCTTGCGCTTGTGCAGCAGGCAGCGAAACCACTGAGCTAAATACCCGGCCCTCAAACTAGGTAATTTTAAGACAGGGTCTCACTTTGTAGTTTAGGCTGACCTTGAACTTGTGGCACTCCTACTGCCTCAGCCTCCCTTGTACTGGGATTACAAGTGTGCACCACCACACACCCAGCTGTTTTTTTTTGAGACAGGGTCTTGCTGTAGTCCAGGCTGGCGTTGACCTCATGTTGATCCTCCTGCCTCAGCCTACCAAGTACTGGGATTACAGGCATGTTCCACCACACCCAGCTCAAAGTAGGTAATTTTAAACTGTGGGATTAGTAGACAAAAGTATTGCATGTATGTAAAATTATGATGTATCTTTTTAGATAATTTTATTTGATAGGATTTTATCTATACTCTTACATAAAAATAGTCCTTCCTTGGAATAGATGGCTAATGTTGGGTGAATTTTTGGGGGGAGGGATTTGAGACAGGGTCTTGCCATGTAGTTCAGGCTGGCTTTGAACTCAGTATATAGCCCAGGATGGCAATCCTCCTGCCTCAGTCTCCCAGTGCTGGTATTGCAGGCATGCACCACCATGCCTAGCTGTTGGGTGAATTTAGGAAACACAAGACCTAGATTATACTCTCAAGTCACTATTTGATGCTTTTAGAAAAGTTTCAAAGCAAAACTGACTAAATTCTGTAACTTACTACACAACCTTATATTACTTAATCCTATAATTATTGTATAATTATTGTAAAGATTACTGATAACATACAAAGCATCTACTAAGGTGTCTAATATAGATACTTAATAAAGTGACAAAGGGGCTAAAATCTGGATTTAAACTGCTTAATCTTGCTACCCCAGATGAGAATGGGTCTGATGACCTGAAAGCCAGAATAAATAAAAATTTGTGTGAAGTGTGCAATCAAGTTTAACTGAGATGTGGTTGAGAATGACAGAGAACATGTTGCGCACATGTTATTTCTGATTACCCTTTGTTAGATTTACATACACTCTCGGTTAATCATAATAAGTCTTCAAAGAAGGTATAATTGTATTTTCACAGATGAGATAACTGAGGTTCAAGAGAGTTCGAATGATGTAATCAGCTGGTTAAGCAATGAAATGGGCACTTGAACCTAGTCATTTTACCATATTCTACCTTAATGAGATATCTCTATTCCCCAAAATAGGAGACAGGTTTCAGTAAGTGGGATTATATAAATAAAGGTTATCAACACTAGCCCTTGACTACAGAAGCAACACAAAATGTTTTAATACTGAATTAGTGACTAGTGTTTTATAATGTGACACAGGAAAATTAGTCCAGGACAGGAGGGTCAGTCTCTTGTAGTATTCCAAAAATATTGGTAGGACTTTCAGTTTAACCGTCTTCAGTACTGTACAGAAAGATCTCATTAGTTTAAACTACAATATTTGGAATTTGCAATAATCTATATAGGAACTAGAAAGAAAATATCTGAAAATATTTTCTGTATTTCCCCTTTCAATAGTTCAGCTTTCATCACAGAACTATGACATTCCTCAATGACTTCTGCATAATGGCCACACTGAATTCTACATGGGATAACCGAGCCAACAAAAACAAAAGATAGTATTGGGTTCACACAGTACCATGCCTAGCAGTGAAGTAAGACACCTCTATTCCATTTTTTACTGGTTCATTTACACCAACACTCTTTTCTTTTAATTTACCTCAGTAAAGCCTTTTGCTAGACAGTGGACACACAGATCTGGGTAAGAACCTCTAAGAGCTCAGTCCAGTAACAGTGAAACTCATGAGACCACCAGGATTCAGAGTTGCAACAGACCCTCCAAAATAAAAACAATGTAAAATAGGATCAAACTAGAAAGATACAGAGAATAAAAATATCTGAAGATAAACTAAGTCAAAGTATTGAGAAGCAAATAGGAATCTGTCAAAAAGCTAGATGAGAATGAAATAGTTTTTTGAGTCCTGGAAGTATGAAACAGCGTGATATAAGGAAGAGCAAGCAGTTCCATGGGATTGGAGGGTGGCAGGGCAAAAGCATGGCTAGAAAAATGGGTAGGGATTCTGACACGTAATGCTAAAAACTGAATTTTATTTTGTGTACCATCATTTCCCAGTTATGGCTATGGAACCCTGTGAAAATTGCAATGTAAAGAAATGCCAAAAACAATGATATACTTGATTCTTTAGTTTTCTTAAAAATCTAAATATAAAAAAATTTGAATAATTTTATTTAAAACCTCAAATACTAGAAATGAAGTAAATTAAATTGTCTTTTATTTTCACTTACATTTAGTTATCAAGAGACATGCAAAACTGTCCAATTTTAATGAGAACAATGTTTTTGTGTCTTTTTATCGCATATCCGTTTAATATTAGGTGTAATGTTACTAAGACGGATCCGCATATGAGGTGCAGCATCAAGTCTTTTTCTATATTTTGTTTTTGTTGCAGCATAATATGAAAATCCTGTTTCACACAAGTGCATTGTAGCAAAAGGAAGAAGCACACGAACTGCACGTCTTGCTATGCTTGGGTATTCTTGAATTAGGCTACTCCAAAAATCATTTAGTGAAAGTTCACTGAAATTTTGTTTCACTTGAGAATCAGATGTTAAATCAATCAGGCTTTCATAATCCCGTGCTACTAATGAGGATGGTTTAACAGTTACTGTAAATGGATTTCTAACCCACACATTACTGTCATTTGTTACAGGAAAGTATTTTAGAAGGGTAGCACGCAAACCCCTTAGGTGCTGCACAATGGCACTGCAAATATCTTTATCAACTGTAGAATTAATTTCAGTCAAAAAGTCACTGAGTGTAGGAAAACAATCAAAGTTTTCTTCTTCTACAGATGAGGCCCAAAATTCCAATTTTCTTAACAATGATGACATTTTATCAAACACTGTAAAAACTGTTACATTTTTCCCTTGCATTGACAGATTAACCTCATTTAATTTAGTAAAAATATCTGCAAGATATGCAAGTCTTAGCAGCCAAGATGAATTTGTTAAACAATCAGATAGTCGAAAAGCAGAATCCATAAAAACCAATAATTCACGCCGAAGTTCAAAAAGTCTTACAAGAACTTTACCTCGGGAAAGCCACCTTACCTCTGTATTCAGAAGAAGTGCCGTGTGTTGAGCACCCATTTCTTCACATAAAATTTTTAGTAGTCTGGATTGATGTGGTCGAGCTTTAATGTAATTGATGATTTGTACTGCTTGATCTAACACATTTTTAAGAGATGTAGGCATTATTTTAACTGCTAGTGCATGTCGATATAATAGGCAGTGACTGCTGGTGCTTTCGGGAGCCACATATTTTATCAAGGTGACAGCCTCGGCAATTTTCCCATATGTTGCCCTAGAAGCATCACTACAAACATCAACACATTTTTCCCATTCAATTTCATGTTTCTGCATAAAACTGTTGATGCAATTGAATATTTCTTCACCTGTAGCATTACTTTGCAAAGATTCACATAAGAGTAGGTCTTCCTCAATAGATTTATTAAACCTATAACGAATAAACACAAGCAGCACAGCAAGTCCTGAAACATCAGCTGATTCATCTAGTTGTAGTGAAAACCCATCACAAATTTTTAGTCTACAAACAAGCTCTTCTTCAATGTCAGCAGCTAGATCCTTAATTCGACGTGCAACGGTACTGTTTGATAGTTGTACTGCATCTATCTTCTTACTATACTGTTCATCAAACATCCGCATCACTACATCTTTTGCACAAGGTTTGATAAGCAATTCTCCAATAGTATGAGCCTCTCCACTCAGGGCTATATGGTAACTTACATTGTATGATGCCTCTGTAGCACTTTCGTTATCTGTGTTGACAATTTTAGGTGTTGGGGGTTTATTATTTTCAGGTGAATCAAGATGCTGCTTGAAAAAGCTAATGTCTTTGTCTTTATATGCAGCATGTTTAGTTTCCAAATGTCTTCGTAGCTTACTTGGGGCTAAAGAGCTATTTGATAAGATTTTCTTACATAATACACACTGAGCATGAGGTGCATCTCTATTTCCAAAATAAGTAAATCCAAAAGATAAATAACTTTCATCATATTTTCTCCTTTTTGGTTTCTTACTAAATGTAGTCATTTTATTGGAACCAGACATAAATTTGACCCTGGAAAGCTCACTTTCTGATTTTTTAGAAACTGAAGGCTGCAACTGTTCATCTTCACTTTGTAATATTCCAACTTTTTGATCATTTGATTCAGATACAATTTGGTAACAAAAAGATTCTACTTCTTGTTTAAGACTTCCTTGCTTCAGCAAAAGATCCATGGGCAATGAGTTTGTGGTACAAAACATGGTTAATTTAGCATTAACATTGAGTATTACAAATATGTTGAAATTATAAGATAGGATACAAAAAAGTCGAGAGATGATATATAATAACACATCAGTTAATCTGTAAATGCTGCCTATGCATCAATGCGCAGATGGAACATCACACGTTCTTTTATCAGGTGATCTCTCATGCGACTTCCTGGTGCTCTCAGGTATGGCACACCTTTCTTAAAGGTAGATTATCACATAAAAATAAAAGCTATAGAAATGAGTTTAGTAGTCTTAAACTTATATTTAAATAAACTTATATTAAACAATAAAGAAAAACTATTATCAGCATCAATCTTTTTCTCAAAACCCTTATTCATTTAGAGTATTAACATTTTATAAAAAAGGTGGGAACCATTAGGCTAAGAAATAACATAATAAGAATTAAGAATAACGTAAGAATTGATAAACATATTTTTAGGGAAAGAACATATTTAGAAATATATCCCATCGCAAAGGCTGGCAAATATTTTGCAAAGGGCTGCACAGTTGGCTCTGCAGGTCATATAGACTCTGTTGCCCTACTCAGATCTGTAGCCTTAGCATTTCAGCAGCCATAAACAAAGGGTAAAAGATTGGCCATGGCTGTGTTCCAATAAAGTTCTACATATACAAACAGTATAGACCATAATTTACCAAGCTCATCTCATGTAATATAGCACCTTGGAATCTCTTAGCTTTTTGATGCCTACTGTTATTAGATGTATTAAGTATTGATACTATTAAGTCTCCATAGCAACAATTCTAATGAGCTATATTAAAACAAAAAAAGTTCAATGTGTTGCAAGACAGAATTCTATTGTATCCTAAATGTTATATGTTAACAATGAAGAATGATCTTAGACCAAAAGTTAGGTACTCTTTCTCTGGACTTAAAAAATTACATATGCTTACATTATTTTAATTAGGACTTATTCAAAGTAATGTATATTTTTACTAATTACTTTGCATTCCATTATACTATATGAAGACTTAACCAGGACCCTAAGAAAATATAAATTCTTATTTTAAAAGCTTTTTCTTCATATAATAAAAAAGCATAATGTAAATAGCAACGCAAGCTCAAAAATCTCTAAAAATACTATTTTTTATAAGTTAAGTTTTTTAAGTTAGACAAACAAATTGTCTAAACAACTATAGCTACATTTGACTCAGGCTTTTTAATCTCGCTACAGAGTAAGAACGATATTCTCATGTTAGACCCTGAATCAAAATGGTTCTCTTGTTAACAGGTAGACAGGGTAAGATACCTGAAATGAGGAGTACTCCCTTCTGCAATGAAAACTCCACTTTGGCAGCTTGAAATGTAGACTCTTCAAAAGAATAAAATTAAGGGATGGGGTGGGAAGGGGAGTAACCAGAAGCCTAGAATGAGAAAAATTAAAATTAGACACTGCAACAAGTTACAAACCTCTAAGACAACCATCCATGCATTGCAATTTATTTTAAATCTAAGTAGTGAGTGACTTTTACTTGCAGTGCAGCTCTGAAACAGAAGATGCATAACTTCTAGAAAAGTAAAAATACTAATATTTTCATCCTGCTTAATACTTGCCAATTTCACTGCTTTGAAATGTTCTCCTATGCATTAACTTCATGAAATGTACATAAAAAAAAACTTTCAGAAACTAAACTTAAATTTAAAAAGTACAGCCCTATCTTAATGTCTCTAAAAGCAAGTAACGAACTAAAATGGAATTAATTTTACATGGAAGTGTTACATGAAATATACCTTTGGCTATACCATTTTGTCCCCTCAATAACCCATCTCCTAAGGCAACTAATATTTATTGAGTAATCATTGTTTACTATGTGCCTGTAACTGTGCTCAATTCCTCATACAGATTAGCTTAACCTTCAAATGAGAGCTAGCGATATTAAAAATCCCACTTCAGAGACAGAGATTAAGTCACCTCCTAAATTAACATTATCGTTTAAGAAACAAGCACACAGCCCAAAGTTTGACTGCACAGCCCACTGCCTAGTCATTACTGGTGTGTTCCTGAACATTCTATTCCCTAAACATTAAAAAAAAAAAAAAAAAAAAATCCGGTACCAGGAATTGGCGGTGCAGAGAAATGGCTTAACAATGGGTTACAACTGCCAGAAAGTCAACAATCTCAAATTGACAGAAGTCTTATTTCCTATTGGGAGCAAAAGAGCAGTGGACTCTCCTTCATGGTTGCCAACTTGGATTTAGCAAGGTAACTTTGCGGAGACACTGGTTCACCTAAAGGATTAGGACTCTTCTCCCTTGCTGTCAGAGGACAGAAGAGTAGAAGCTTTATTTCCCTAAGGAAGGCCTCATCTCTACTTCAGAGGTGTTACCCGAATCTCTTGAGGACGAAGAATCTGTATTCCCTTGAGTAAACTTTCCATTCCACTCCCCGAAGAGGGAAAAACACTCATCTTTCCTCTCTTCTTCCTGTTAAACTGACAGGCACCTCGATCCTTCCGCACTTCTTCGACCCCCAGATGGTTCCACATGTGAACAATACGCTCTTAGGGGCAGAAAGGCAGGGCTGGAAAGCAGCCAATCATCAAAGGCAGGGTGGAGGTGGGTACAGACAGTCCTGCCACACCTTAGTGCTTCTCCACAGGACTACCCCGACCTGCGGCCCGTATCTACCACCCCTCAGCTCCTCCCTCTCACAGGGGCTGCTGGCCCGAAGATCGCCACCTCTGGGCTGGCTTCCGGCCGCAGCCCACCCTCGGCTCAGGGCTCCTCTCGCGTCCCCCGGCGGTCGCCTCCGCTAAGAACCACAGGAAACCAACTCTGCATCCAACACCTTCTTTCTACTTTCTCTCCATCAACGACGGAGAGAGCGGTCTTGGCCGCGGCTGCGCTGCCCCGTAGCGCCACGGTCCCCAGCGGAGCCCACAACCGCCATTTTGCACAGCTGGAGGCAGCGGCCATTTCGGAGAGCACCGCTTAGCCGCGATGGCGGCTCTGCTCCTCACCTTCACCGAGGCCTGAGCAGGGTCAAGAGCCAGTCGTCGCAGACTGGAAGGAGGAAGAAGGGAGGAGGGGGTGAAAAACAAAACAGGAAAGGAGGATGCGGGGACAGGGTGATGCTCAGCTCAGGGACATCGCCTGTGCCACCTCCATAGAGATCCGATTCGCTGCTGGCGCGGTCCTGGTCTGAAGATAAATTTAGCACTATGGAGCAACCGAACACTACGGTCTCCAGGAGCGACTCCGCCGCCGTCCAATCAGCGCCCACGCAACTTCCCTTCACCAATCCACGCTAAGAAGTAGGGCGGGAGCAAGGAAACGAACTGCTAGGTTGAGACTTCGCAACCGAGGGCCTCGCTGGATTCGGGCTAGCGGTTCCGCGCTGGTCGTGAATCGGGTGTTCTCAAACTTTTCCGGACCACGGCCGCCCTGACGCTAATTTAGAATACAGGTTCCCTGGTGCTGCCAGATAGAGTTGGTGACCGTATGAGACCGGAATGGAGGCTGAGAATCTGCGTTTTTGTCAGCTGTTAGCTCTCTGCTTTGCTTGGTTGCCTTGGCGGCAGAACCTTCGCGACCTCTTTGTTCCCGGGTTCGTACCCAAGCCTCAGGTCACGGAGCCACCTCCTCTGTCCCTTGATTTACCGACTCCCGACTGGACCCCACATAAGTCGGTGGCCCCCACATGGGCTCAGGAGCCGCGAGCGGGACCGGGAGGGAAAGCGCCAAGTCCGCTATGGGTCTGCCGGGGAGTTCACATTTCATGGGTTGCAGCGTTCGGGAGTTCTATGCCATCGTTCTACGCCTCCCCTCTTATTTATTTATGTGGGGTTTTTGAGACAGGGTGTCGATATTCAGTTCAGGCTGTCCTTGAACTCACTAGTTATATATCCCAGGCTGGCCTCGAACCCGAAGTAATCCTGCATCAGTCTCCTGAGTGCTGGGGTTACTGGCGAGCGCCACCACATCCTGGTGTGACCAGCGCCACCAAAGGCTGCCAGTTGTGAGCTTTTATTTTCTGTGAGGTCTGTGGAAATCTGCAGTCTGTTTTTCCAAATTGGTAACTAAGGTAGACACCTTTCTGGGGAGTGAGAATGAATTTGAATTTGTTAAAGTACGGGTAACATTAAATAGTGGGTCCCGTGGTTTGCAAGTGTTTTAGCCTTTTGAGGTTCCATAGAAACATCTAGACGAAAGTTGGATGGTGTTTTTCAGGCACTGCACCAATGACAGAAAATGCCCAACTTGGGGTCAAAAGCAACGGTGGATTCTAGTTGTTAAAAATACGTTTCTTGAACCCGGGTTTTAGCTCAGTGGTTCCGCTGCCTGCTTCGGCAAGCGCAAGGTCCCAAGTTCGATCCCCGGTACCAAAAAAAAAAAACCCCACAAAAAAACGTTTCTTCCATATGTGATCGAATGTTGTAGGTAAATATGCCCAGTCCTTCATATCATCATTTTCGGGATTGCAATTTTGGGAGTTGTGTAGGTTCAGAATAATACTGGAATATCTCATTTTTATATTTTATATTTCAGAAAAATCTTTTACATGTATGCTCCCAGTCTGATCTTAAAACATCTGGTTTACATCTTCATGAATTGGGAAAACCCAAAACACTAAATTGATAGAATAGTGTTTAAATTCTACTAAAAGTCGAATTTAAGTTAAATCCAAGAATGTGCTAACGGTTCTTGCAACAAGACTTTTTCTGTAATTGCTTTGTAAAACTATAAAATATTGGCTAAGACATAAAAAATATAGACAGTGCTTGAATACATAGTATGATTCAAGGGCTGTTGTACACACTTTTTAAATGTATTCTTTTACTCTTCACAACAACCCTCTTGGTAAATGAGATCAGGCCTTATTTACAGATAAAGACATAAGGAACTAATAACTTGCCCAGGTTCCCAAAACTAATTGGTGCCAGAGCTTGGATTAAGTGCAGTGCTGGTTGTGGGAAATATACACTGTGTGTGTGTGTGTGTGTGTGTGTGTGTACAAACTTATATTAGGCATAAAACTATTACAGGCATATACCAGTTAAAGCAGGTAGAACCTCACCATTAAAAAGGAACTCCCTTTGTTAACTTGGGGCTGAAGAACTTTGATAAATTTGCAGCCTCAGTTGCTGTAGGAGGGCTGAGATGACAATTCTGTTACTGGTTGCTTGGGTTAGTTTGTGTTGTAGTTAGGTTGTCCTGAAGCAGATGAAGAGATCTGGAGCTCTGGAGCCAGTATTGTGGGTCAGTGTCCCACTCGTGCCTTTTGCCCTCCCTCAGTTTGTAGATGTGAATGGGCTGCCTTGGGAAGAGCCGCTGAGGCTGACCCTGAAAGAGTTGACAGCTAGAGGCCATTGCTGCCCCAAGAAAGGCAGCAAGCCCTTACTTTAAAGAAGGATTCAAGTGGTGCATCTCCATATCTGCTACAATTCGTTATCTTAACATGAAGATGCTACATTAATACAGTTTTGTTATTTCTGTGAATATTTTCATCATTATAATGGTATGTGCTGTATTAGCTTTTCTTTTTGGTACTGGGGATCAAACTCAGGACCTTGTGCTTGCGAGGCAGGCAACGGAACCACTGAGTGAAATCCCCAGCCCTATTAGGCTTTAAGATGCACGAAACATTTAAGAAAATTTTATGACTACATATATAAGATTGGCTTATTGGTGTTAGATTTATAGATTTATTATAGATTTGCAAAAGTTAGATAAATGCTTATGGAAATTTCATTGGCTAAATATTAGATATATTACATTTGTAATTGTGGTTTAAAATGTCTAAGAAAACTTTATTACTTGAGTATGCAAATAACATTAAATATCTAAGAAATATTTACCCTTATGGTTGTGAATTAGACTGTAGCAGAGCATAAATAAGTGAAAGTGTCCATATTTTTATTAATAAGTATGAGATTTATAAATAGACTAATATTTCTAAATTAAGCTTAATGGTTTAAGACATATGATTTTATAATTTTAACATGTTTTGCCTTTTAGTAAATGAGCTAAAATGTCTATTATCAGTTTTATTTTTTATAGGTTTAACTTACTCCCAGGACTTTCACTATTCCCTCCATGTTCCATGATTCTCATAATTATGACTTACTCTTGAATTTCAGTTAATTTTCAAGCTTGTAGATTTTTTTAGCCCTTAGATTTTCTATTTGAATATATACCAATAGTTTAGGTTCAGCATGTTCAAAACTGAAGTAATTCTGTCCCCATACTTATAACCAACAACTCAGTTACCTCATTTTTGTTAAAGATTTTATTCTTTTAATATTCTAAACTGGCAAAATTGGAGTCAGCAGTCCCTGTTAATTCATCTTCATATTCTATATGACTGGGTATCGAGTTATTACTTTCTGCTAATGTTCATGTCCTTTCTTCCATTATTTTTATATATTCCTCAGCCTAGGCTCAAGAGGTTTCCCTTCTGAATAACTGCCACAGTTGTGCTAGGTTCCGTTCTCTTTCTGTTTTACCACTTTTACATGTCATTCGTATTTTAAGCCTTCACTGATTAGTTCTTCTGTGTCATGGCATAGGATCATAAAACTTTACAGCTGAAGAAAATTTTAGAAAATAACAATGCAATCCCCTTTTCCTCAGTTTTACAGAAAAGTGAATTTCAGAGTTACCACATGACTGATTTCACATTGAAATTGGTGACAATGCTGGACTAATTTTCAAGGCCCATGAGGCATGTCTTAGAATTCCATTTTTACTACCATTGTACTGATCATTAAACTATTTATTTGATAGAACACTGCTAATATTTGTTGATATATAAGCTAAACCATCTTTGCCTCCCTATTAATATGTCCTCTTTTTTTTACCAGTAATAGAAACTTAATGTACATGATCATAAGCAAAATAAATAATTTCCTGGCTCACACGAGAAAGTTCATTGGTAGAGGCATGGATGGATTCAGTGTTGCAACTGATGACTGCTTGACTCTCTTAGTAGCCTGTGGCATCCTCCATCTTATGGGAAGAGAGAGCATCCTACCAGCCACATTTATACTGTACACAAATACGCACTTTATCCAGAATGTAGATACTAAAGCCATTTGCGTATTCAAAATGAGCCTCGTTGGGCAATCAGCTCTTCAGCTTGGCTTTAAAATTCCCAGAAAATGGTTTTGTTTTAACTTTTTTTTTTCTTTCAATTTTATAGCTGCAGAGGTGCTAGGTAAGAAGTGAGTGAGGTGAGGTAAGGACAGAAATGTCTGGAGCTCCTTCCCTTCAGCTAGTGATCATGTAATATGAAGGTTAGGTGCTCTGGTTTAAGGGCTCAAGTTTGAGGTGTTCATTTTGTTGTTTTGCTTTATTTTATTTTAATTTTTGTCCCAGCAATGCAAGCATAGAATTTTAAATTTTACCTAGGTGTGGTTGCACACACCTGTAATCTCAGCACTTGGGAGCCTGAGGCAGGAGGATCTCAAATTTGAAGACAGTCTGGGCTTCTTAAGTGAAACCCTGCCTCAAAAAACAAAGAGCAAAACAAAAAAAGTAGTAGTATTGAAAGGATTATATATAATAACAACTCAGAGAAATTCCTTGGTTTCTTTTTCAGATGTAAACCCTTGTAACATTATGTGTCATTTCTTTTGGCGTTTACCTTCACATGTCTCAGTAACGTGCAATAATTGCTCACTTATGGTCCATCATTGTTCTGACCTCAAAACTAGTTGCCCAAAGATTTGTAAAGCCTTCAATTCACTGGTTCAGTCCTTCAGTGTCCCAACCCCAAATCTTGGGAGAAGAGTCTGATTGTCCCAAGTTATGTTTTCTTACCAGGTTCCAGTCCACTGACTCACCTTTGAGTGAGCTGCCCTTAAATCAAGTCTCTACTCTGAACTGTTGTCAGGGCTGGGGCAAGCTGGGTGGGTGCTCTATGGTGGTTAATAATTTGCTGTCTGATTGTAGCTGTTATCACAGATTGAAGGATTTGACTAAACTACAGCTCACTAATAATAGACCTTACTCTTTAAGGCTAGAAACCTAAAGACTATTTCCCAGAAGACCTTATAGCATGGGTTCAATAACCTAGTTTCTGTGTTGGAGAGAAATGAAAATTGAAAGGTGGGTGGATTTCTGACACCTCTATTATTTTCACTACCAGGTGTTGGTTTTTTCTAGCAGTTTTAGCAGAGGTCCAGTTACCAGGTTCTGAGGTTCTGGGGACTTCTAGAAATTCTT